TCACTCACTCAACACTCTCACTCGCTCACTCACTCCATCACATACTCTCACACTCTCACTCACTCACTCACTCCATCACATACTCTCACACTCTCATCACTCACTCACTCACTTATTCCTCATTCCATCACACTACTCACACTATCACTTACTCTCTCAATCACATTATCACTTGCTCATTCACTCTCTCATACTGACATTCTCACTTTCACTCACACTCTAACATTCACTCACTCACAATCTCACTCACTCTCACTTTCACTAACACTCATACTCTCAAATTCAATCTTACTCTCATACTCTCTCTATTACGCTCACTGTCATACTCACATTCTCTCATTCCCAACACTCTCACTCACTCACTTTCATTCACTCACTCACTCAATCACACTCAAACTCTCAAACTCATACTTTCAAAATCACTCTCACATTCACTCCCTCTCACGTTCTCTCTTTAAATCTCTTTCTCACTCTCTCTTTATCTCTCTCTTATAACATCTATATACATATATACACATATACATACATACATATATATATATACATATTATATAAGCCTTTGAAAAAATAACCTCTTTATATCCTCTATGTATAACAAGAGATTGTGATACTGGTACAATTATTTTGATATTCAAGGTACCATAAGATAACAATAGCTACAAATGATCACAATAACATATAGTACTAAATGTGTGTAGTCTATGGAAGGCACCCCAATATAGCATTTCTTTTAACTTTTTGTACTATGGCTAATACTTTTAAAGTGCCACTTTCTCATTGTGACTAAATATGTAATAACTATATTCTAAAGTTTATGTATATCTTTTCATTCTATTCAGGACATAAGCATCCAGATATGTAATAATGACTAATGTTAATTACTACTTAATGTAAATCAAAACAAGTATATATAAAAAAAAAATCTAATCATATTGATCCATAAGTTATTTGATTTCATTTGATAAATAGGCTTAAAGTCTAATATCTTATCATGAGTAGGCCAATCTTTGTATTTATTGATCCCAATCAATGTGTTGCAATATTACAAAAACTAAAAGCAATGTATTCAGGTAATTACAGTCAACTCAAATATTGCCTAATCCATCATTATAACATACACTTCTTACAGACTTGCTTGTTCTTAGTATCTAATAGCCACATTCATGCAAGCCTAATCAATCTCTGATAGGAGTTTTAGTCGAACTAATGCCTCTTAATCAATCATTCCCCATAAAAAAGAAATGTTTTTTAAATGGCAACTGCTAAAAATATCATTATGAAAAATCCTCTAAATCAATACTATGGTTGTATAAACTATTCTATACATTACAATATAAGAATGTATTAAATAGGGTAATTCAACAATCAACAAAGGTAAACTTTTGCCTAAGAACAGACAGACATGTACAATTATGAAATATGGCCCAATTCCAAAAGTACATCCAAGTACCATAATTAATACCAAAAAACAAAAAATATTGATATCTATATTATTTACTTTTCATTTCTGCATAGATACAATGAAATAAAAATTGTGTTCAAAGTTTCCTGTCCAGCATATTACACAATAAAAAATTACATATCTTACAAATAACAGTTACATATTTTACCTTGCGGAAGGTTTGTTATATATATTGCAAACAAAAAAAAGTCAGGCAGAATTTGAGGTAATATCTTTGTCTGATAAGAATTCAAATATAAATTTTAACTCAAAAGTATGTATAAGAAAATAATATAAAAACACACAGCTATAGTTGCAGGTAATACAGGTCCATTATAACAAACTGAATACTTACATCCAAAGGCACTATAACATTTTCTTCATAATTTAGCAGTCTACTCACTCAAGAAGTCATGTTTTGTACACTTACTTCACTTTGTTTTAAAATATGTATAATGTAAACATACAGTAAATGAATATGGTATAATCATATGTGAGAAATATGAGGTAAGTTCATTACAGGTAATGAGGATCATAGGATAAATGGATGAGAAATATATGAATTTTGAGATTTGTTGTCATGACGTATGAGATTTAAAAGCTAAGGCATCTGGGTTATGTGATATTAATATTATGAACATCAGGGCTAGGATATGTTAGTGTAATTAATATGAAAGATTATGAGTATATGGGTTGTGAATTTTGAATGTTCTCAGATATGGCGATTATAAATATGAGGCTCATTAAGCAAGGGGGTTACAAGGTATGAAGACTACGACGTATGAGGGCAATGAGGAACAAGTTATGAGTGTTCTTACCTGTATGTGATTGGGCAAAGATCCTATTGGCAGCTGGTGTTGGTGGCTCGCAGACGAAGAAGCCTCTCCTGCCTCCACCTCCGCCGCTCCAGACTGCTGCTGAGGCTTCTTCTTGGGGAGGATTGTCATTGTGAATCCTTTACGATGTCCGGATCTCCCTCTAACGAGAGGAATGTGCCCAGAATGGGTGTAATTTGGTGCGCTTTGTCCAGAAAATGGCGAAAGTGTGATATCATAGACC